AATGCCTGCAACGAGACATTAAAGCATATAGAAACAAAAATAGAAAAAAATCAAATCCTTGGATAAACTAAGTGTGTCAAATTTCATCCAAATCAGTTCAGCCGTTTTAACGTGAGTAAACAAACATCGATGCAAATGTTCGCATTCATAATATTTGTATATATATAAATATATATGGTATATATACAAATATATACCTTACCCATAGAAATATATACCTTATAGTCTAACATAAATATGAAATATAATTAAATTTTAAGAAATTTTCCAATACTTAAAACTTAAAATCACACACATTATTTAAAATACATAAAATTAGTAGGATATATATATATATTACCTGTATATATTTAGTATTGTATACCACTCGTTATTATAATTTAAGCTAAATCATGTTTGATTTAATCTTATATTTCCAACTATATAATTATTAAAAATCGTGCACAAAAAAAACGACACTGCACTTGAGAATTCAACCTTTTAATTAAAACGTCATGAGTCCACAATTAGAACAAGAAAATATTGTGGTAAATATTTTTTTTAACTAAAATATGCTTTCGTGAATCACATGTTTATTAATTAGTTTGAAGGTCTTGTATTTTAACAAAGACTTTATAGTTATGATTTATTTATTTTTTAAGCATTTAACTGCTAGATGTTTAAATCTAAAGAAAAGTTTACTAGAAAAAATCCACGCGGACCAGGCAGCGGACGGGACTCGAACCCGCATCCTTCGCTATCCGGGCGAATGCACTTTTTTCTAGTAAACTTTTCTTTAGATTTAAACATCTAGCAGTTAAATGCTTAAAAAATAAATAAATCATAACTATAATTGCTATTTCTTCTTTCAAATGTTTAATACTTGTAAAAGTATTCATTTGTCATTGTGGGTTACCTACAATGCGTAGAGATGGCGCTGCCTTGCAGCTTAAGGCTAGGAAAATTTCAACGCGGCTAATAGGGCCGTGGTAGCATAATGGTCAGTGCATTCGCCCGGATAGCGAAGGATGCGGGTTCGAGTCCCGTCCGCTGCCTGGTCCGCGTGGATTTTTTCTAGTAAACTTTTCTTTAAAGACTTTATACTTGAATGGAATTTGTGGTTTTTTTTTCTAATAAGTAATATTTTCTTTAGATTAAAACATCTAGCAGTTACATGCTTAAAAAGTAAAAAATATGACATTATAATTATAATTTTTATTATTTTTAAAGCATGTAACTGATTGATGTTTAAATCTAAAGAAAATATAACTAGAAAAAATTCCACGCGGACCAGGCAGCAGACGGGACTCGAACCCGCAACCGTCGCAATCCGGGCGAATGCACTGACCAATTATGCTACCGCGGCCCTCACGGACCGCGTCGAAATTCCTCTAGCCATTCTTAAGCTGCAAGGCAGCGCCATCTCTTCGCATTGTAGGTAACCAACCCACAATGACAAATGAATACTTTTACAAGTATTAAAAACATTTGAAAGAAGAAATAGCAATTATACTTTATTTTACTATTTATTTTGTAAAATTTGTCATGTTTAGGAAAATTTTGTTTAAACGGTTAAGTACCTAACTTCCATCCAACACTATAACTTGAGAATGACTTAACATATTTCTTCCAAAGATTTCCTTAGGAACATTTAAGAATACTTATTGACATTGACAGCTTAACACAATAGTTGTCGCTACAGACGTGTTTAATTTGACAAAAGAAAATCTAAGGGTCCATTAATTTTTGGAGGTTACTCCTTAAGAATCGATTTGCATATACACGGTGTTTCAAAAATACCCCTAAAGCGAAAAGGCTGTTAGAATCAGGGCTTGTTTACCGGTTAATTTTCAAACCCAAATCAGTGTCAAGTACATTAGGAGCGTTTTATTTAGGTTTGGCTCTACCTTAACCTTAAAAAACCGGTTTTCCTAAAGAGCGAAATCAAATAGGTTTTGAATCAATTTAGCGGTTTTTAAAGGGTTTCTTTTCGCTCTTTCTGACGGCATCGATAATAAATGAATAACTTGACTCACTAGATGCTAGCAATCGTGTCAATAAATGCATCAATCTCTGAGCATTAACAAGTTGTGACTTGATTAGTTCAAACAAAACAAACTTTAAGCGATGCCGACGCGTGCACGTGGAGGTCTGGATTAAACCGGTTTATTAAGGTTTTAGGTACCGCTTTCATTTCGGACTCGCTCCGAACGAAACCTTTACTAAAACCGGTATTAACCTTTATTTACCGGTATTTTCGAAACCGGTTTCAAGCCCTGGTTAGAATGTCCCTTATATAGAGATCATTGCCAATATATGACAACCGTAGCTTAATATTATTATATGCTGAAAAATTAATTATTCTTCATAAAAAAAAAAATGAAATGCAATGAGCTCTATGCATGGGACCTTCTAACGCCCTTTTCGCTTTAGGGGTATTTTTGAAACACCGTGTATAAGGGGCCCGGTATGAGAAAAATGTGATGAGTGAAATCTATCGATGAATGACCTCGTTACGTTAATGACAATTTAACTGACGAACTAATATTTCGTTAACTTTAACCCCATCATCGCTTCAATTATAATAGTACTAGTGGATACTGCGACTTTGTCTGAGCGAAAAAATGGATTTCCCGTACAAACTTCCACATTTTATGCCCTTAAAGGATGACTTCTCTCGAGGAGGAGCTCGATGGCGCAGGTGGCTAGCGCGTTCGGCTGCGATCGTTGAAGTTAAGCAACTTTCGCAGTGGTCGGTCATTGGATGGGTGACCAAAAATTTACTATCTCGAGCTCCTCCGTGCTTCGGAAGGCACGTTAAGCCGTTGGTCCCGGCTGCATTTGCAGTCGTTAGCACCCGCCAATCCGCACTGGGCCCGCGTGGTGGGTCATGACCCAATCTCCCTATTCCATCCATAGGGAAGGCCTGTGCCCCAGCAGTGGGGACATTAATAGGCTGATGATGATGATGATGATGATGAAAGGATGACTTCTGGGATAAAAACTATCCTATGTCCTTTTATTTATTTTATTTAAACTTTATTGCAACATAACACAGCAAATGGCGGACATAATGCCATAAGGCATTCTCTACCAGTCGACCAGTAAGAACGTGAGAAAAAACTAATATGACGGGGGCGCAATAAAGACAAATGTTCTTACATTAACCAAGGATACAAATACTTAAATAAAACTAGTTTTTACGGGTTAATGCACGAAACTTTATTTATTTATTGACGTTTCGCAGCCTTTTCAGGTCTGCATCGTCAGAATAATTCTAATTTAATAATTCTTTATTCTGACGATGCAGACCTGAAAAGGCTGCGAAACGTCAATAAATAAATAAAGTTTCGTGCATTAACCCGTAAAAACTAGTTTTATTTAATGAGTGATGTGCGTGAAAACCTAAGAAACAGATACAAATACTCTTAACAGAATACACACACATACATACACATGCATATATATATAAATATACATAGATACACACATATACATACATACATACATACTCCTTTCCCGGGACTCGGAATATATCTATACCAAATTTCATCTAAATCGGTTCAGTGTGACAGACATACAGACACACATAATATACAGTACCAGCTGTACCCCGCGGTGTTACCCGCGACTTATTAGGGCTATTCTCCTGTAGTAAAATGCAGCCTGTGTTAATCCAGGGTGTAAACTAATACCAAATAGGATATTTGACAAGTTTTAGAAAACGATCTCACGTTATTGACTAATGTTTATGGAGTCCGTAAAAAGTGGATATTCATCATTCTTTTGCGTATTTCAGTAAAAATTACCAAATCAAAAACTCCATTTTCAAGTTGCCGCGAAAACGTTTCTCTGGACAATATGGCGTCTTACTAGCGTGTGACGTCACACGACTGTTATTAAAACGTCAAACGGTACAATGTAATGTCACTTTAACCGGAAGTTTACTTGCGTGTGACGTTTTGGGTCACGTGACAATAGATAAGAAAACTATTATCTTTTTCGTTTAGTTTTTAGTAAAATTATGAATATTTTTTTTGTAAAAATAGAAAAAAACCCCTGCCAAAATTCATTCTAAACACAGATGCTAACAATAGCTGTGTGAACCTAGCACCCGACTTTGGAAAATCAATTTTTTTCTTAACGATTCTTGAAGACTTCCGTATGTAGTTGCTTCAAAAAAAAGTTATGGGACTTCGAAAAATCGTTAGCACCCCGATTCGGCTAAATTCAAATTTTTTGATTGCTTCGTATCGAGAATCGTTTGTAGTTAATTGTAGTGAAAGAATTTTCGTTTTTAGTTGCTTCAAAAAAAAGTTATGGGACTTTGAAAAATCCGTATAATCCCGTTTCAACCGAACCCAAATTTTCTTATTGAATCTCATCGAGAATCGTTTGTAGTTGATTGTAGTGAAAGAATTTTCGTTTGTAGTTGCTTCAGAAAAAAGTTATGGGACTTTTCTCGATGAGATTCAATAAGAAAATTTGGGTTCGGTTGAAACGGGGTTATAAGGATTTTTCAAAGTCCCATCACTTTTTTTTGAAGCAACTACAAACGAAAATTCTTTCACTACAATCAACTACAAACGATTCTCGATACGAATGAATCAAAAAATTTGAATTTGGCCGAATCAGGGTGCTAATGATTTTTCGAAGTCCCATAACTTTTTTTTGAAGCAACTACAAACGAAATAATTTTTTCTACAATCAACTACACACGAAAGTCTTCAGGAATCGTTGAGAAAAAAATTGATTTTCCAAAGTCGGGTGCTAGGTTCACACAACTGCTAACAATTGGTACTTTATTTTTAATACTGTCAAATACCCTATTTTATTAAAATCGCTCCAGCCGAGCCAGAAGTAACAAACATACACACACAAACTTTCACCTTTTATAATACTATATAGTGTGATGTCCAAAACTCACCTTTTAATACCGGAGATCCCATTAATAGAATCGTCGAAGTCGAAGCAGTTGTTGCCCCTCCGAAGGGGAGCCGGACTCGAAGTGAGAGGTAAACCAGTCTTCGTATGAAACACCATCGAAGCGGCGGAATCGAATCGAAATCTAAATCTATCCGTCTCACTCGGCGACGGCACAAGATTCTCCTGTCCCTTTCTAACTTCAGGAAACTTAAAGCCGTTCTGATCTACCGGAGATTCTATTTGATCACTTTCGTATTTCTCGAAAGTGCCGTAATCGCATTTCTCGTAAGGTACGTACTCGTCGTCGTTTATCGAGAAAGTCTTCTGCCTCTTCGATTCCCTTTTCGGTACAGAGAACACTGTATCGTCAGTTTTCAAATGTAACTCTTCAATGTCTTTATTCGATCTGTCTTCGACAACTCTGTCGATCCTATCCATTAGGTGTTGGTACCTCCTAATTTTAGGTCTCTTCACAACGTCACTACCAAAACTAACATTAGTAACAACTAAATTATCACACTTTTCACTATGAATACTACTACCACTACATAAATTATCACATTTCGGCTTTTTGAACATTTCCACGGCATCATCTTCGCGTTTGCGCCTGGCTCCATTGTTTTTCCCATCCAAAGAAGCTAAATCGTAATTCGCTTCCGATCTAACAAGTCTGTTTTGAACGCACGAATCGCATTTCATCTCTATAACACTGCCACATGAGCATGCCACGTTGTCAGTCTGCGTTCCAACAGTGCAAGTCTTTTTGATTTCGTCGGGTTGTATCGTAGCCGCGTCTACGAAAGGCGATTTGGTTTCAATCCTGCTCGCCGGCAATGTCAGATAAGTTTGATTCCTATAACATCCTATAGCTCTCAACCTATCGAATCTGGAAGCTTGCAAAATAGGTATTGATGTGTGCGTTTCTTTAGCCTTCTCAATTTTATCGCCTTCCGAGGACGTGCTGTCCGATAGCTTTTTTAATTTGCTCTCTTTCCGCAATCGCCTTTTGTATTTGGCTATTTCCCGCAAACGTCTCTCGTCCAGTTTCTTAGGTTCATTATTGACGCTAGTGAAAGATTTCATCTCTCTACCGTCAGATTCTTCGTCGCAATTGCATTTGTGCTTCCCGTTCTCGCTGCATGGCGTCAACATCCTATCGTCTAGCACTTTATTTTTTTCATCTTTCTCATCGCTCGTATATAAATATTCGGTAGAAGCTGCATTGGTGACAATGGAAAGCCTCCTAGCTGGGTTGCCAGTATTCGAATTGATCAAATCCGTGGGGAATTTTATCCTATTACCTATTGTGAGATCATTGAGTTTGCCCGTCAATTCCTCGTGAATGTTGACGGGCATTTCCTTGCTAGCTCTCCGCTTTTGACAGGTACATTTGACGTTTGGTATTTCGTCCACCCTTGGAAGACTTTCTAGAACAACTTTTAGATGGACATTCCCTCCTATGTCTGTCACTGGGAATTGATGGCTTATAGGAGTTTTTTGGAATTCGTTCGCATGGTAAGTATCGCCCGGAGTGCGGACGGAATATACGACGTTCAGTTTCCGTTTGAACTCGTCCAACTCGTCCAACTCGTCCTGGTCGCAATTGGCTTCGATCTTCTTGATGTTGCAAGTCTCCCTGCTGAGTTTGCGCCTGTAATTTTAAAGAAATTACTGTTATTTTTAAAGTAAGATTTTTAATGGTGATCACGAAAAATTTGACTTTATTTAATTCTAGTGGCCCGCCCTCGCTTCGCATCGGTGTAGAGCTGTAGTGTAAACTATAGTTTTTGTTCTCAGGTTTGTGCTGTAAAGAATGACTTTATTTATATAATTACACGTGTTATTGTGAGTCAACCATAAAAGATAGACATATGCTGTTGCGGGATATTTTTTTGACAATTTTATGTATAATATTTCCGTCATACATGATTTCTATGTAACTTTAACCATTAAGGCTGCACCCGCGACGGAAGCTTAAAAAATGGAGTAACTTCTCCCGTTTTCCCAACATTTCCCTTCACTACTCTGCTGCTATTGATTGTAGCGTGATGAAAAGTATACTATAACCTGCCCAGGAGTATGAAGAATAATTGCACCAAGTTTCGTTAAAATCCGTTGAGTAGTTTTTGTTTCTATAAGGAACATACACACAGACAGACAGACAGACAAAAATTTTACTGATTGCATTTTTGGCATCAGTATCGATCACTAATCACCCCCTGGTAGTAATTTTAAAAATATATTTCATGTACAGAATTGACATTTCTACAGATTTATTATAAGTATATAAACAACATCAATTACATAGTAAATGTATAATCTTTTGACAAAGGGTATTTTTGAAGAAAAATCTTCTTTAGCGGCGTTGTACACTTTTTTTTGTATGGGTAAAAAATGTTCAACTCGCGTCAGGACACGTGGGCTGATCGCGTCATGACACGTGCCCTGATCGGGGATTTCGACGAAAACAATAACATTGGAAAGGTTATGGATTTTCAAATACTAAGTCTCTATCTAGGGCGTCCAGGTGGCAGCTTTATTGCAAAGAAAATGCTTTTTTTTTACCATAGATGTCGCTAGGTGCGCTTAAACGTGATTCATGTAAGTTGATTTTTCTGAGAGATAAACTTTTTTACTGTAATATAAATTGTCATGTTTGTGTACGATAGCGCAATAAATAAATATTGTATTCTACCACATACATGATAGTACATTTAGCAATAAACAAATCCTTATGATAAACCTTTTCGATGGTTATCTTAAAACATGCCGTGTTTTTTTTTCGAAATTTCACGAGTTTGATTCCCAGTTGAAGCAGGCGATTTTTAAAAAATCTGTGAATGCAGTTCTTATTATTATTAAAAATAAAACGATGTCTCCTTTCAGTAAAATATCGTATCTTCAATATTTAATATACATTCCCTCCGTGTGAGGTAGCCGTGGGACGCCCTGTATATATATATATATATATGTATACATCACCTGTGTTGTCTATATGAATGTTGTACGCGTGCCATCCTCCAGGCTATATCTACCACTATATCTATCATTATATGTATATACTAGCGGCTGCCCGCGACTTCGTACGCGTGGAGTTAGTTAGAAATAAAGGTTCACTGCTCGTTCCCCGTAGGTGATAGCGGGATAATATGTAGCCTATATGTTGACCCGACTTCTTAATAATATTGCTAAATTTGAATTGAATCCATGCAGTACTTTTTGAGTTAATCCCGGTCATATATTATTATTATATATATATATATATATACTAGCTGACCCAGCGTACTTCGTATTGCTTACAATAATTTGGAAGAAATGATAAACGACGAACGTCAAATGTTTGACAGGAATATACACATAGCCATCTGTCGGATCCAATGTAAAACATTCCAAAATCAACAACTACTAATAAATTAAAAATTAATTAAAAAAACATTGTCCAGCGGATAAAATTGTGAATCTAAACCATTCTCAGATCCCCTTGAACACACACAAAAAATTTCATCAAAATCGGTCCAGTCGTTTAAGAGAATTTCAGTGACATACACACTCACAGAAGAATTATATATATAAAGATATATATAACAGACAAACAGACAAAAATTCTAAAAACTATATTTTTGGCTTCGGTATCGATTGTAGATCACACCCCAAGTATTCTTTTAAAAAAATATTCAATGTACAGTTTTGACTTTCTAACATTTTATTATATCTTTATATATATAATTCTTCTGTGAGTGTGTATGTCACTGAACTTCTCTTAAACGACTGGACCGATTTTGATGAAATTTTTTGTGTGTGTTCAAGGGGATCTGGGAATGGTTTAGATTCACAATTTTGTCCGCTGGACAATGTTTTTTTAATTAATTTTTAATTTATTAGTAGTTGTTGATTTTGGAATGTTTTACATTGGATCCGACAGACGGCGCTACCATCGCAGTGTCAAATCTTTATTTATATAATTCTTCTGTGAGTGTGTATGTCACTGAACTTCTCTTAAACGAATGGACCGATTTTGATGAATTTTTTTGTGTGTGTTCAAGGGGATCTGAGAATGGTAATTTTCATCAAAATGGTCCAGAATGTTTTAGCTTATTAAAAAAAAGTTTGATACGTTCAAATTAAAGACGTGTAGACAGGACAACGTCTGTCGGGTCCGCTAGTATATATATATATAACAGACAAACAGACAAAAATTCTAAAAACTATATTTTTGGCTTCGGTATCGATTGTAGATCACACCCCAAGTATTCTTTTAAAAAAATTATCAATGTACAGTTTTGACTTTCTAACATTTTATTATATGTATATATATAAATGAATGTATACAACACCTGTGTTGTCTATATGAATGTTGTACGCGTGCCATCCTCCAGGCCCTCAGTTGTGAAAAGTGCAATTGTGATCGAACAGCATTCAGCAGCCACGCGGAACAGGTGAAAGCTGCCTCGTTGCTTCTGCGAAAACAACATACAATACTACACATAGTATGTACTTTATTAAACACTAATAATAATCATCATCATCATCAACAGCTTATTATTGTCCCCATTGCTGGGGCACAGGCCTTCCCTATGGATGGAATAGGGAGATTAGGTCATGACCCACCACGCGGGCCCAGTGCGGATTGGTGGGTGCTAACGACTGCAGATGCAGCCGGGACCAACGGCTTAACGTGCCTTCCGAAGCACGGAGGAGCTTGAGATAGTAAATTTTCGGTCACCCATCCAATGACCGACCACTGCGAAAGTTGCTTAAATTCAACGATCGCAGCCGAACGCGCTAACCACTTGCGCCATCGAGCTCCTCAGTAATAATAATAATTTATTAATTTCATTTCATGTCATTGTACATTATATTTATACTAGCAAACCAGTGAACCAAATGTTCACCAAAACCTGATTTAAAAAAAAATGTATTTAATTAATTGAGAACTTCGGAGATTTTGTGTGGTTTCGTTTGAAATTCGTGAACCGGAAGTGCTACGTTACTCAAATCCGGTTTGTAGTCTTATCAGACTATTCTTAACTTATAACTTAAACATTCTCTTTATCTATCTCTTACGGTTTGGCCGCTGAAACAGCACCACAGACGGACGGACGGACGGACTTGTCTAATAGATAAGAGATTACATTTTAATTGGAGCGTTGGTATCTGCACTAGTATAAACTGTATGGCAGGTACCAGCGACTTCCCATAAATAAATTGTACATTTAATAATGTCATGCAAGCAGAATGTAATCTTTTAAATAATCATGACGCCTTAATAACAATAGATTAGATTTTTTATTTTGCTAAAAATTTGCATTACTAAATTATTATACTGAAGTAAGTGTGATTTACGTGCTATAAATAAATCATTTTTACAAATAAATAATAAATCATTTCATACATTATTTATTATTCATACCCTTTTTATATTATAATTAATCATACCTATTTAAATTAACTGACTTTACAAACAACATACCTAGTTCATTTTTATGTTTAATTTACTAAGCCATTGCAATCAACAACTTTTCCATTTCATCATAATAAAGTCCCAATAACCAACTGGTTATCACTGCCTTACATACTTACATATGAATACTGTGAATTGGAAAATTTTCAGTGTTTAGTTTATCATGGCCCAATCTCTATTCCATCCATAGAGAAGGCCTGTGCCCCAGCAGTGGGGACATTAATAGGCTGATGATGATGAAACAGTGTTTTAACAAAATAGCCTTGAAAATGAAGTTTTTGTAAAGGCAATGCATATTTATAGTAATTTATGTTGTTTACGGGATTGTTATCATGTACCTTGTTTTTAGCTTGTTTCCGATATTATTTGTTTTAAAGAAAGGAATACTCCAGAAGTGGCCTTGAGAAGTTATTATTGTGTGGCGACGACATCTACATGCCTCACATATAATCAACATGGAGGAAATAGTCACTCGCTTTCTCAAGAGATGGCGCCACCTGCGTTGCGCTCCCAACGTATGGAAGCCTACATCGCGCAAGTGAAATTCGGAGGCTAACACTCCATATATATAATGTCTGGCCGTGGTCCCCAAGCTACCATCATCCAGCTCTGTATTTCATAATATATACCAGTATACTGGCCAGTGCACTGACGTCATAAACCGACGAAATATTAAAAATAGTGCGAATAAAGAAGAATTTCTTATTCACCTCATCAATTAAAAGGAATTCTCTTTGTTTGGATGTCATTGTTGTTCTTTAAATAATAAATGAAATAAAATTCGAATGCATCACGCACGCTCGGTCATACGTCATATTCGTTTACTGGGTATATATACATACCAGTACAATATGGCGTTGGATTCGTGACGTCATTACCACTGACCAGTATACTGATGTATATTTCGGAATACACCGATTAATTCGACCATCATTGATTGATTCATTGATCGTTGAGTCATTAGTTGACAGTATACTGACTTGGCGGGCAGAGTATGCATGGTCCATCGCTCCAGCAGCACCCCACGCGGGTGGGTCTCCGCTTGCGGCGTGGGGGGCTCCTCGCGCCCCACGCGGCGACACTCCGAGCACTCGCCCGCCAGCAATACCTGCGGGACGATATATACAGGTATAATAAATAAATATTTCCAACACACACACCGATTGGGTATTTGACAGTATTAAAAATAAAGTACCAATTGTTAGCATCTGTGTTTAGAATGAATATTGCCCCTGCCAATATTTTGACAAAAAAAATATTCATAATTTTACTAAAACCCCACGAAAAAGATAACAGTTTTCTTATCTATTGTCACGTGACCCAAAACGCTTGGGATTGGCGGAGCCTAAATGACGTCACACGCAAGTAAACTTCCGGTTAAAGTGACATTACATTGTATCGTTTGACGCTTTAATAGCAGTCGTGTGACGTCACACGCTAGTAAGACGCCATATTGTGCACCCTATTAGCCTAGCCCCAAAGTAAGCACTATTAGGCTTGTGTTACGGGATACTAGGGTAACGGATAGAATACATATACAGTACATATATAAGTATCTTTATATATATAATTCTTCTGTGAGTGTGTATGGCACTGAACTTCTCTTAAACGACTGGACCGATTTTGATGAAATTTTTTGTGTGTGTTCAAGGGGATCTGAGAATGGTTTAGATTCACAATTTTGTCCGCTGGACAACCCCTATTTTTTTAGGGCGGTACGAAGTTCGCTGGGTCAGCTAGTATTTATATAAAAATACACATTAAACATCCATGACTGGAGTACAAATGCTCGTATTCATCACACAAACATCTGCCCCCCACCAGAACTTTCGAGTCGGCGACAGACACCATTAAAAACCCGGCGTACAAACCAATCGACCGAATTAGTAAATTTAGTTGTGTAGTTTACCTCAATGCAGACTGGGATCTGGTCGGTCCACAACGCCTGCACGTGGTCGCTGAGCTGGCCCTCCACGCCTGGCTTACACTCTTCGACATCAGACTTCGGCTGCGTTTGGATCTGAAATCGACGCGAAACATCATATGAAACGTCTAACGTTGTTCTAACGCGAACAAAGAGGTGACTCGATTTCTCTGGTGATGTTCCCTCCCTCTTACAACCTTGGATCCTTTAAAAGAGGCGTGAAGAAGCAACATTAAGACCGGCAGGGTGAGGATGCTTTAGTGGCAGGTAGAACTGCTGTATCAGGTATCTTTGCGTCTGGACTTAAACATCAGGTGGGGTGGAGTCATTTGTCGGACCTATCTATAAAAGAAAGAAAAATGTTGCGTTGTTCACATAAATGACAGAGCAGGACAGCATTGGTTCCCTGAGTCCAGTTAATCATCGTTGTAGGAATTCTTTCGTTCACTCTGATGTTTCCATCCAGTGGCGGCGCTAGACCACATGTGGACGTCGGCGACATCAAGTTCGCGAGGCCTATTTTACTTCGCAGTAAAAAACCGTTAAATTAAGTGAGCCAAATTATAAAATAACGTATGAGTAAACGAGTTTTATTGTTGATAATCAAATGATGACAAAAAATAATTACAAACATAGAAATTTAATCACAAAAATAGTGTTGCCAAACAGACGATTCTGAATACCCGTAAAGTACTACTCGCTTCCATCACGCACGTGTTCGAAAATAATAAAAAGTCATTATCATCTGCTTAGCTTTTCCCCCGAATTGTTCGGGGTCGGCTACCTAAGCCAGGCCAGCAGAAACGAAAATAAATAGGTAACTTGTAAAAACTTTTTGCGAGGCCCCCTCAGGCGCGAGGCCGTCGGCGGTGGCCGACGTCGCCGACGCCTAGCGCCGCCACTGTTTCCATCTACACAGTGAGTAAATGTTTGCTCCTTCAGAACTGTTCCGAGCCGAAGGGAAACGCAGCTAAATACATATTTCAAATGTACTGAAGGATATTTTGATTTAAAATTGCATCGAGATTAATTGGCTACCAGAACAGCACAGTTGAGGATCTCTCCCCGTTACGCCCAATCAGTCGTGCCTTTATAAAAGCGAGAGCATATGTGCCAAAGCGTCATACCTATTGAAGAGCTAGGTGATAAGTGATGAGTCGTTAGTCTAGACCAGTAGTGGGCAAACTTTTTGAATGGCGGGCCATAAAATTTATGAAATTCTTAAGGTATCAAAGATTGACAATTTCAATTAAAGAAAAAATTGTGGATCGGTCAATGACAAAGAAGATTAAGTTGGTAATAATCACTTAAACTTATCTCTTATCTATTAGACAAGTCCGTCCGTCTGTCTGTGGTGCTGTTTCAGCGGCCAAACCGTAAGAGATAGATAAACAGAATATTTAAGTTATAAGTTAAGAATAGTCTGATAAGACTACAAACCGGATTTGAGTAACGTAGCACTTCCGGTTTTCGAGAAATCAGGTTTTGGTGAACATTTGGTTCACTGGTTTGCTAGTAATATATATAACTAGCAAACCAGTGAACCAAATGTTCACCAAAACCTGATTTAAAAAAAAATGTATTTATTATAGCTATTAACGGGATTGTTACCATGTACCTTGTTTTTTATGAGTCTCCGATATTTCATTATTTACATGGTAACAATCCCGTTAATAGCTATAATGTTAGTGACCATGAAAGTTTAAAACAATAAAATGTATTTAATTAATTGAGAACTTCGGAGATTTTGTGTGGTTTCCTTTGAAATTCGTGATTTCTCGAAAACCGGAAGTGCTACGTTACTCAAATCCGGTTTGTAGTCTTATCAGACTATTCTTAACTTATAACTTAAACATTCTCTTTATCTATCTCTTATGGTTTGGCTGCTGAAACAGCACCACAGACAGACGGACGGACTTGGCTAATAGATAAGAGATAGACCATATAATATCCAAATTGAAAATCCTTCGGCAGGCCGGTTGTGGCGCTCGGGCCGTACTTTGCCCACCACTGGTCTAGACTCTTGGATGGATACCAGGATGACATAATTGTTGAGGAGCTCGGCTACGATATTGTTTTGTCTTTTTGGACCTTTTATAGAGAACCAGGATATCATAGCAGTTGAGGAGCTCATTGAAGCGCCGTTTGAGAGTGCGTGCCAGGGCGGCATACCTGGTGACTGGTGGATGGTTTCTCGGCTCGCAGCTTGGCGTACAGCAAGCGGTCGCGAGGTAGCGATGCTTTAGTAGAGGCGAGAGTATCTCGACCAGCTATATCGCTTTCTTTCTTTCTGGGAAGTTGTCAATTTCATCGCTCTCATTTTATACTGTGGCTATGATCTAGCGTTATACCTATCGAGGAGCTCGGTGACGGACCGTTAGCTATGACTTCTTGGAGGCGAGAGCATCTAGAGTACCAGGACGACATAACTGTTGAAGAGTTAGGTGACGACCTCGCTTGTTGAAGTGTAGACCTGCCTTGTAGAAGCGAGAGCAGGTTAAGTACCAGGGCGACATAGCCGTTGAGGAGCTCGGAGGAGAGAGAGAGCACGAAGTAGTGTGATGTTTAATTCCCCTCTACTGCCCTCTCTTCGCTCACTCAGAGCACCGGGGGAACAATAAAAGAAAATCAAAAAAATTAAGATAATGTTATAAGTATATTTTATCCACTTTAGATACCAAAGCATAGGAATTCAGTAGTTTTAAGTTATTGCTTATATAAATCAACAAGTCTAACTATGTTTATTATTTATATAATAACTATGTTTCACTAATTATAAATATCTAAGCTGAATACAGTAGTTCAAAGTTAATGTGTATATAAACCAACAAGTTGTCATGAAAGGTTATAATTATATGAATATCAGACATTCATAACACTTTACCATGTACTTACAATATAATCCTTACTAATATATTTTATCCACAAATACCACATAGACTAGACTGAATAAGCTATTGAGTGGATTTCAGAGGTTCTACGGCTCGTTTGATCGATATTGGTGACAAACTTAGTTAATTCTAGTTCTCAGTGAGATAACCAGCTATATAGATATATGTAAATATATGGAAATGGGTAAGTCGGGGTCCAACCTCGCCTGTTGTTTCCTTTTCACGTTCACCCGGGGTTAGTAGAGAAATACCTTGATTATGATAGGTTAAGCTGTGTATAATCTGTCTGCTGTTCGGCCGGGTTACATAAAACCGGAGAGCGGCTGGCAAATAAACTCCCGCGCCCCTTCTGGTCCGTGCACAGAACAAAAGTCTCCTTGTTAGTCCTCCAGTATTTCTTGAGGGGAACGTACAAGCCGTTCGAAATATGAAACTATCCGTAAGTATTTTGTTTCCTATCACAAGTTACCGCCTTATTATTGCAATCGCCTTGCGAAGGTTCGTGTTCGTCCACCTACGAAACTCAGTTCGGTTAGCGACTCCGCGCTTTTTCCGCCAATATCCTTCGGGATATAAACTTTTCGGATCTATCTCACGACTTCGACGACAATAATATGCCGTTTATTATACTTTGGGCAGAAGAAAAGATGAAAAGTTAACTGTACCACAAACAGATTGTGAAATTTTTAAAAGTTGTTTTGACAATTGCTCATAGATGATAGACGAATCGTCTACTCCCAAACATGTGTCTATGATTTGTTTCCCACTTCAACTGAAGGCAAAGGCCACAGTCAAACAGACAGCCGCCGCATTCGAGACGAACCGAAGAATAAACTCAAAACTATATACCTACGCTCGCCGTAAGCTGAGGAAAAGGGAATACCTACCCAAATCAGCGAGGAAATTCAATTTCGAGTAAAATTCAAAATCGATTAAAAAACAGCACCCGATAAGGAGGACTCAAATCGATCTGGGAAAGCCTATTCAAAATTCAACAACTGTCAAACTCCATCCATTCATCCACGCGCCCCCACAGAGATTCACCGCCTGATTAGTTTTTTTTTTTTTTTTTTTTTTTTTTTTTATAAGTCTCAAGGCGAATATTTTAGTCGAATAGGAAAATCGACTCTTCCCTCAAGGCTACCAACCCAATCAATGAAGTTTGACAGCTACGCTGACGTAAGCGGTTCGCTATCATAGACAAAACAGCTGTCCTACGTGTGTCAGTGTCACGCTCTGTTTAAAAACAAACACTACAGTATCCCCCCACTCACGGCAGAATTCACGTAGGGAATTCGTCGAACGCCCTCGTTCGTATATCCCCATGTCTTATGTACTTTAGTTAAGATATGATTAAGTTATGTTGTATAAAATAATAGAATATTATAAACCGCTAAGTTAAGAAAAAATAAACATACAGAACGATAAATCATTGATAAATCTCTAAGTTGTAACAAAAATAGATAATAATAAATGACAATAGTAACACAAAGTGTATACCACTCAAGGCCGTACCGCAAGCATCTTTGCTCCGAAAATAGATATAATCAAAAAAAAAAAAATTATAATGTTACCAGTTATACCGAGAAAAACATAATGGTAGAAAATTAACCAAACAGATGTTATTGGTCAAAGGCGATTTGCTCACAAAATTGCATGTTGTGTGTTCGTCCATCGTGTGTCTCATTTACTGTCTCCCGAGAGAAATAAAAAAAAATATCATAAATATTCTATGCTCATCATAGGATATTATGATAAAAGTTGTTGTTAATACGTTTTCATTTGTATTAGCAACTTCAATAAAATGCCTTGGTAGGTAAAAAACTAACAAGCACATTAACAAAACCTTCTCCTGGAAAAGTTAAGAGACAATTAAGTGTTTAAGCATTAATTAGGTGGCAAACAAAGAGATCACACTATCGGGGACGAACACACACATGGGTATCTAAGATGCAGTGTGATACCAAGACCCATTGACGATTTCTACGTCACGCCGGGCAGAAGGCGGAATGGGTATTCGTCGGCCGCCACATCCACGGCGATAAGTCCCTACCTAAATATCTATTCGGGGTCAGCGCTTTTGAAATCTTTTATATGCCATTTGCCTACATACTTCCCGTTTTCGTCTTCGAGCTCGTAAACGAGTGGGGAGAGTTTACGGATTATTTTGCAACGTTCATATTTCGGTGCAAGTTTGACTGAAAAGTATTTATGAGCCGCGCTTTGTTTATACGTCCGTTTCCAAATGTAATCGCCTACGTTAAAGGAAATATCCCTACGACGCCTGTTATAATATTTAACGTTCCTATCGTGGGCTTTTCGCAGTGAGTCCTTGACCTCTTTAAAGATTTCACCTAAATGACCCAGATTAGACGCATGAGTATCCCGGGGTACTATCACTAACTCGTCAAGATCGTTGAAACCGGCATAAATACTACCATCGGTCACAGCCTCCCTACCATGAACTAACATAAACGGAGTATATGACGTGGATTCGTTCACAGAGGTGTTCATAGCGAACTGGATCTTATGAATATTCACGTCCCAAGATCTATGGTCATTTTCAACGAACGAGGCCACCGCAGTGATGACAGTACGGTTATAACGTTCGACAGTGTTAACCTGAGGGCAATACACAGGACCCAAATGGACTTGTGGTATATTATATTTGGCATACAAAGATTGAAGTTCATGGCTTACAAATTGCGATCCGTTATCGGAGATCACGGTTTGAGGTATACCATGAATCAAAAAGACATGATCCTCCAGTCGCTGAGCAATCACCCTACCCGTAGCTCGACGTAAAGGAAATAATAAACAATATTTTGTAAAGCAACACACTACTACCAGCAAATAGTTGTTTTGCTGTCTGGACATCGGCAGTGGGCCAACTAAATCGATGCTGATGCACTGGAATGGCCGACAGCAAACTTTAGGTTCTCCCATGAACCCAGGAGTTGCCAGTGAACTGTGTTTGTATGCGTTGCAAACCGAGCAACTCTTAATAAAATCCACGGTATCCTTATACATACCGGGCCAAAAATATCTTAATTTTAAACGTTTATAAGTTTTTGCCACACCAAGATGAGCCGCGATTGGTTCAGAGTGGTTCTGTTTAATTATAGATTCCCTACTCTCAATCGGGATAACCTGTTTCCACTGGTAATCACCACTGAGCTTATTACTACTTTTTGTGAAACGGTATAACCTACCATCAACTATCTGAAAATTTGGACAAGCTCTAGGTTTGTCCGTACAACGTTTAATTATATTATTATACCACGAGTCGGCTGTGGCGTCAGTGATACCTATAGATGCCACGGGAACAGAGCGGGATAACGCGTCAGGTACCACATTTTGTGAGCCACTGCGATGTTCTATTACAAAATTATAGGGTGATAATCTACAACCCCAACGCGCCAAGCGACCGGTCGGATTTTTAAGCTTCAGAAACCATTTTAGACTAGCATGATCGGTAATAACACGAAATGGCCTACTACCCTCCAGATAGGGACGGAAATGCTCGACTACATGTACCACAGCTAAAGCTTCCCGCTCGGTAGCCGAGTAATTTCGCTCGGCGTGGGTAAGTGAGCGACTACAATACGCGACCGGATGCTCCTGGCCGTCTACGGTTTGGGTGAGGGTACCTCCAATGCCAAAATTGGACGCATCGCAATGAACTGCAAATTCCTTCGTGAAGTCCGGACATGCCAAAACTGGAGCACTTGTAAGAGCCGACTTCAAGTCCAGAAATGCTTGCTCTGCCTCATCCGACCATTTAAAGGGAGGAGCACCCTTACGCGTAGAAGTGAGAGCATTTAATGGCCCGGCCATATGGCTAAAGTTTTTAATAAATCGCCTATAATATGATGCAGTTCCCAGAAAACGTTTCACCTCCTTTCTATTAGCGGGTATGGGAAAATCCACAATAGCTCTTATTTTATCGGGATCGGTACGCAAACCATATTCATCAACCACGTGACCCAAATACTTCAACTGTCTTCTAAAGAATTGACACTTCCCCATATTAATAGTTAAATTAGCCTCCAACAATCTATCTCTGACTTTACGTAGAATATCAAGATGTTCGGACATAGCAGGCGAGGAAGTTAAAATTATTAAATCATCCAAATAAATGAATATTTTATGGTTATCCGGGTTAAAATCTGGTGACCCGGATCCCAACAGCTTATTAAACTCCGGCCCAAACAAACTATCCATCAAGCGCTGCTGGGTGGCAGGCGCTGAGGTCAAACCGAAACACATGACCTTAAATTGAAATAGCCCGCGGGAGGGAATAGTGAATGCGGTCTTTTCCCGGGAATCCGGTGATAATAATACTTGATGGTATGCCGATTTAAGATCGATTGAAGACAGGAATTTCGCGTCACGGAGC